ATGTGATGCCAAAATTCAGGTAATTTGGACTGATAGTGGATATTTGGTGCACATTTAACCCGAAATCGGATGAAGATATATATGGGAGCTATATCTAAATTTGATCCGATTCTCACCAATTTCAATAGGGTTCGTCCTTGGGCCAAAAAAATATTGTTTGGAAAATTTCATCTCAATCGGATAATAAATGCGACCTGCATTTTGTTCACAAGAATACATGGACAAACGGACGGACGGACTGACATGAATAAATCGACTCAGAAAGTGATTCTATGAAGGTTCTCAAAAGTAACTGTGGGTCTATCTCGTTTCCTTCTCCATGTTACAAACAAATGCACAAAGACATAATACCCTTACCACTATGTGGTGTAGGGTATAAATAGGACCTGACCTTCAAAATTAATTCTTATAAATATCGCCATAACAAACAAACTCAATGGTCAAACAAAACTATTCTTAGAAACAGCTCTGAAATCCCAATGTTGTAGATCTCAGAAAAAAAACCCACGTTGAAAACTTGGAAGGCCCTCAAAACTATTTTTAAGAGTCTCACGATAACAACATGGAAGGTACTTGCAAATAATTTTAATTTTATATAAATTTAAATTTTTTGAAGTTCCTAAAAACATATAAGGTGAGATAAAAAAAAACAGCAACAAAGTCAAACGCCATAATTTTTACATTTTTTTTTTAATTTTATTGAATGCAAGCCAAGCATGTCGAAAATAGCATCAAATTTTAGAATAAGTTTAGATTTCTTCGAATTGGTCACCTTTGACAAGAATTATGGCCTTCAAACGGCCAATGAAACCGTCACACGCTTCTCGAATGTTGCTCTTCGGTATTTTCCCCTATTCCCGGCGAAGGGCTTGCTTGAGATGATCGACACTTTGGTAAGTTTTAGTGCCAACCTTGCTTTCCAAAATACAGCAGACACAATAGTCCAACGGATTGGTATCCTGAGATTTTGGTGGCCATTGTGCACCGGATATGAAGCGAGGAACCTTAATTTGTAACAATTCATGGGTGGCGCGTGCTGAGTGCGATGGTGCTGAGTCCTGTTAGAAAAAATGTTTTGCGTGCCCAAGGTTTTAATTATCCTCTAGAATATTTTCGCGATTTATTCTGATGACACAAGCGGAGAACGATTATCGGGTGTTATGGCGGCCCACACCATCACCATGACCGGCGCATGAGTTCTAATGGCCTACAGAAGGTGCACATTTTCAGCTGACCTCTTAGGAAAGTAAGCACGATCATTTGGATTGTTAACAAACTGCTGGCCAACGAATGTTTTCTCATCGGAGAAGGAGAAAACCAAATTCGGCAGTTTACCACTTTCGGCCAAGCGAAGCAACCCTTTAGCTCTTTTGAGTCTATTTTCTTTCTGCTGCGGTGTAAGTTATTGCACTTTTTGAAAAATCAATGGCTTTAACCCGAGCTCATTTTTCAATATTTGCCGAATGGAGTATTGCGATATGTTCAGCTCACGAGCCATTTTTTGGTCACTGCGATGCGTGTTTCGATCAAGTCGCTTCTTTACTTTTCGAATCATCACATTCACGTGATTTGAAGGTTGAAGGAAATGCGTTATATATTTGGATAATTACTTTGAATAGAAAACAAATAAAAAAGCAGCTAATCGAACTTTTAATACCCCTTACCGCGTAAAAGGGACTTGAATGAAATTCCGAATATCAGGTGTTACAATTATATGGGACTAAATCAGTATTGGAGTAAGTAGCAAAATACCGAATATTGGAAGGTATCGTTATATGGCGCATATACAAAGACATAATTTTGTATAGGCAATTTTCTCTCATAGAAGGAGGTACAGTTATATGGGGCTACACCAAAACTTGGCCTTATACAGCCAATTATCTGTCAGAGAAGGGGGCTATGAACTCCAAATACCAAGTTTAAGATAATTCAGTTGAAACCAGTAAGGAAGGCTCAAAAGTCGGGCGGGGCCAACTTTATGATATCCTACACCACTATGCATATGCATAGTAGAACTCTCGTAAAATGAAGGTTTATATTGCAATTTCTGAGCTCTATGACATATCTGGTACAAAATATCATTATGGTAGAGTGCATATTCCGAAAGTTGGAGATTTAAAAACCAAATCGGATGAAACATGTATATGGGAGCAAATTTGCTAAACTCGGTTGATGTTCGAAAACTCACTCCATTTGGGCTAATATTAGCTATTTGGTGCACAATAAACCTGAAATCGAATAACGATATATATGGAGGCTATATCCAAATCAAGGCCGATCTTCATAAAATTGAAAACAGCTATTTCTTGGCTGGATCTGATATCTGGTACCAAATATTATTCTTGTATGAAGAATTTGGACTGATATCAGCCATTTGGTGCACAAGAAACCTAAATTCGGATGAAGATATATATAGGAGCTATAACCAAATCGGAACAGATCTTGATAAAATTTGAATCATGAATTGCTAGGCTGTATCTGATATCTGGTGCAAAATATCAGTTTCGTGGAGGGCATATTACGAATGTGAGGGACTTAAACACCAAATCGGATAAAACATATATATGGGACCTATAGCTATATCTGAACCGATCTTCACCAAATTTAAAGCACATTCTTGTAGGCTGAATTCGGTCAGATGTAGCAAAATTCACAACATTTGGACTGATATTAGCCATTTGGTGCACAAGAACCCTAAAATCGGATGAGCAATATCTAAAATTAGACCGATTTTCACCAATTTCAATAGGGTTCGTCCTTGAGCCAAACAAATGTTATTTAGAAAATGTCATCTCAATCGAATAATAAATGCGACTTGCATTTTGTTTACAAAAATATACGGACAGACGAACGGGCAGACGGACGGACATGCATAAATCGACTCAAAATGTGTTTCTAAAAAACATCTGAATTAAAGTGGATAAACCTACGTTATTTCGTCCGGAAGCTATAGGAATTTTCACAGACGGAAGGAAAACGCTAAATCGACATCGAATTTTATGCCGATCAAGAATATATACAAACAAGTAAGCAAAGGCTACAGTCGAGCGGGGCCGACCGTTGAATACCCTACAACACTATAATAAACCATACAGTTTTTATAGGCGAAATACTCGACAGAATTCCACAAGATATTGTGACAAATAATAAAAGAAAACCATCAGGTTTCGTTCTCTAATTTTCGAATAATAGCAACTTTAACTAATTTGCTCATTTCCAATTTATTGGTAGATGTTGCACGTAAATGGTCTTCCTAGATCTGGAACCAATATTTCCCACAGACCTATAACCTCTCAGAAGTGGCAAAAGATTAACATTTATTATTGGTTTTTGACTGAAACGCATCTATATGAGATACAGACATTTGACTATATTCTTCAACGAAATCAGCGTTAACGAAATAGTCGGAAGTCTTTCCTGTATTTGTGAATTCTCCAAAAAGTCACTGGAATGGACATTTTCGTATTTTGTCTATAAAAGTTGCAAACTCCTTCACACATTGAATATTTTTGGATGGCCATCCGAAACTGCTTGGTTTTTGCAATGTGCGGTAACCCCCATTTAAATGTGCGTGAGGATCGGGCGACAATTTTGCGGTTTTTTGGTTCATTTCAACCCCTAAATATATGGCGATCATCTCCAAAAAGAATAGGCTTCTATTCTGACCCTCATCTTATCCCCATGCAAAATGTCGTAAGGATCGGGCCATAAATGCGATCTGCATATGATATCCTGATATCCTAACTACTTAGTTTTGTTAGCTGTAGAAATATTAAAAATTTTTAATTCAAAATGAAAATATGCCAAAAATATGACAAAATTGAAAAAATATGAGAACATTTACAAAATCAATATTTTTATCTTTAGAGAGATATTTTTATGCGATTTTTTTAGACATTTTTTCTTTCCTGCCAAGAGGCCATTCTGAATTAATGAGAACTGTCGAAATCAGTTCAGCCGTTCTCGACATATAAAAGATCTTTCAAGCATATCTTCTTTGATAGAGATATATATCGCACATATTTTGCTATATATCCGATTTGTTGGATGTTAACATCAATGTAAAGATCAGAAGTAACCTTGTCATGGCTTTATGATTTCGCCGGGATTTAAAATATTCGCGGTTTAATGAAAAATTTGGAATTTATTCAACACAAAAGATATGGTCTATTTTACCCGCTAAATATTATCCGATGACCACCCAAATTGGTAGGCTTCTTCCCCTCCCTAAACTCCAGCTACATGCGAAATTCCGCGTCGATTGGTCTATAATTGCGACCTGTATAGCTACTGCAAAATCCGACATTTTTTCAGTATTTTGTCCATTTCAACCCCTAAACATTTGGCGATCATCTCCAAAAGCAATAGGGTTCTATTCTGGTCCAAGCCCCACCTACATTCTAAATTTCGTGAAGATCGGACCATAATTGCGACCTGCAGAGTGATTACAAATTAACATGGACAGACGGACAGACGGACGGACGGACGGACATACATAGCTAGATCGACTCAGCTCGGCGAGATAGGAAGATCCATATATACTTTCCTATGTGGGAAATCAATATTTCGTGGTGTTACATAATTTTTGGCCCAATCAAACTTATAATACCCCCAACACATAGTGTTGTAGGGTATAAAAATATGGAGTAAAAATTATATTTTTCAAAGAGTTACAAACGAATTGACGACTTAATGTACCCCCTTATACTATGGTGGGGAGTATAAAAATTAATCACTTTCTCAAGAGGTCAGAAAATGAAAAGTTCATCAGTCGTTACACGAATAGTGCGGTAAAATTAAATTCTATCCTGATGTGTATTGAGGAAGGTAGCTATGCCGAATCGACAACCCTATTCACAAATTGTTTTTTTTTTTTTTTTTGCTTTTTCATTTCGTTCCCTATAATCTGTAGTCATTAGAGTTTGTTGTTCTATACTCCACGTTGTAATACGTTATCATATGGCCCAATTTTTCGATTACTCCTCGGTTTTGTTACTTACCTTTTTATTGTTGTTGATATTAATGTTGTTTTTGTTGTTGTTGTAGAAGTTGTAGTATTTGTTAATAATATTTCAGCTACTGATGTTTTATTACACGAAACAAATGCTAATGATGAATTGTCGTCGTTGATTTTATTTTGTTTTTTTTTTTTTTTTTCTTTTTTTTTTTGTCGCTTGTTGTTTATGACACCAAATATCAGAACAAAACAAAATGAAAAGAACAAACAAATCTCAAATGATTTTAATTAGTGACACTTCAAAAATGGGTTACTTTTTCAAAGATATTTTTTTCTCTTCTCTTTATTTGAGGTATTATTTGAATTTTTTTTACACAAGATTTTTTTTAAATATTTTCTGCAGCCTGCAATTTAGATCTAAAGGAAAAGAGAAAAAAAATATGAGAATTTTTCGTTTTATTTATAATAATTTTTATTTATTTATTTCCACTGCAATTGAAATGTAATGGAATACAATTAATATTTATTTATAATTTTTTTAGCTAATAATTTTTTTGTCAATTCTTCTTGTTTATCAAATTATTGAGAATTCCAACATGCACTAAACAATGGATAAACAAACAAATGCAATGACATTCCCGGAATCACATTGGCTGGCAATAAAATATTTAGGTTTTTTTTTTGTTTTCGTTTGTCATTCGCCGAGCAAATATTATTTTATAATTTAATTATTTTTTTTTTTTATTGTTTGTCATCGTCGTCGGGTTTCTTTTCCATTTTTCTAAGTATTTAATGCGCGGAAAAAATCACACAAACGTATGTGTCGTTGATGATGACGATGATGATAACGATTCGAGTATCACGTGTGAATTTTCAGCGCAATTGTCAAGTGTTAAGCTGCTAGCTTACTTAAATGCCAACAGAGGGATCTGGCTATTAGATCTTTGACGCATATTTTATTTTATTGGGGGAATAATTTTGAGAAATTGAATATAACACGTAAGAGAGGTTTTATAAAGGTAAAAATAATTTATTTGTTTCTTAAAGGTTGAAGATGTTGGAAAGGTGTTTTGACAGAAAATATAGAAAAAGACCTTCGAGGGGTCTTTTCAGATAGAAGACCTTTATGATGTTTTTTTGGATAGAAAAGAAGACATTTTGGAGGTCTTGCGCGGCAAAAATACGTACAGAAAACGTTTTAAATGTCCTTAAAAAAAAAACCCCAAAAGCTGTCACTGAATGATCTTTAATGTGGAGCAGACCTCTTATAGGCCTAGTATTGATAGAAGAAATCTATCGAAAGTCCTCTGTAGAGATAAGAAAGATTATAGACAGAAAATGTTTTACATTTATCTTAATTTTTTTATAGCTCTCCACATTTAATATGATACATTTATTTCAGCTATAAACCTTGTCTTTAGATAAAGCCCATTGAAATGCCGCTGTAAGATAGATTAAAAAATAGGATCTAATTGAGGTTTTTACAGATATAAGGTGAGGTGTGGTAGGTATAGAAGTTCTTTGAAAGGTTTTCTAAAGACAGAAGACTTTCAAAAGGATTTCTAACAGACGTTTGAGAGGTCTTCTGTAGAGATAGAATCTTCGAGAGGGTTTTTCTTATATAGAGCAATCCTCTATATAGATAGAGAAAAGATCTTCAAGAGGTCTTCTTTACATAGAATAATTTCGTTAGGTCCTTTTATACCCTTAACCATACTATGGAGGGTATATTAATTTTGTCATTCCGTTTGTAACTCCTCGAAATACTCATGTCAGACCCAACAAAGTATATATATTCTTGATCAGCGTAAAATTCTAAGACGATTTAGCCATGTCTGTCTGTCTGTCCGTCTGTCTTTCTGTCTGTCTGTTGTAATCACGCTATCTTTCGAACAAATTGAGATAGAAGGCTAACATTTTACACACATGTATATTTTGCCAGTAGGCAGGTTATGTTCGTAAATGGGTCATGTAGGTCCAAGTTATCATATAGCCCCCATATAACGGTACCTCCCGATATTCGGTATTTTGATGATTTTAGCGACATTATTCACCGGAATTGTTTCAAATTTGGCATTTGAAGTTCGTAATAGATACTACAGCCTAAGACAGAAAATTATCTGTGCAGGTCCAGGTCTTCGTGTAGCCCCCATATAACGGTACCCCCCGATATTCGGTATTTTGATGATTTTAGCGACATTGTTTACCGGAATCGTTTCAAATTTGGTATTTGAAGTTCGTAATGGATACTGCAGCATAAAACAGAAAATGGGTCATGTAGGTCCACGTCTTCGTATAGCCCCCATATACCGTACCCCCCGATATTCGGTATTTTGATGATTTTAGCGACACTATTTAATGGAATCGTTTCAAATTTGGTATTTGAAGTTCGTAATAGATACTGCAGCATAAAACAGAAAATGGGTCATGTAGGTCCACGTCTTCGTATAGCCCCAATATACCGTACCCCCCGACATTCGGTATTTTAATGATTTTAGCGACATTATTTACCGGGATTGTTTCAAATTTCGCATGTGAAGTTCGTAATGGATACTTCAGGTCCACGTCGTCGAATAAGCATTGGGTATTTTTAAGATTTTGACAGAATTTGTAACCGATTTTATTTATTTTTTTTTTTTTTTTGGAAATTGCCAAATTTGTACCATATGGTGGAGGGTATTTAAAGTTCGGCCCGGCCGAACTTACAGCTTTTTTACTTGTTTGAATATAAACCCATATCGAGGTTTTCTCTAGAAAGAGGTCTTTCGAGAATTCCTCTATGGATAGAAACAAGATATCGAAATATCTTCTATAGAAGAAAAATCTTGGGGGGTCTTCTATGGATAGATCCCATTCGAAAGGTCGTCATATGAAATGACAACCACAGTCTGTTATGGCGGCCCTCAACATCACCATGGCCGGCGCTTGAGTTCTGGTGGCCAACCGAAGGTGCACATTTTCTGCTGACCTCTTTGGCAAGTAAACACGATCATTTTGTTTGTTTGCAAACTGATGGACAACGAATGTTTTCTCATCGGAGAAAACCAAATTCGGCAGTTCACCACTTTCAGCCAAGCGAAGCAACTCTTTAGCTCTTTTGAGTCTATTCTTTTTCTGTTGCGGTATAAGTTCTTGCACTTTTTGGAATTTTAATGGGTTTATCCCGAGCTCATTTTTTAATATTTGCCGAATGGAATATTGCGATATTTTCAGCTCACGAGCCATTTTTCGGCCACTGCGACGCGGGTTTCGATCAAGTCGCTTCCTTACTTTTCGAACCATTTCTGCTGATGTTGCTGTTTTGTGGACCCTCGACGTCGGGTTACGCTACCAGTATCTTGGTAACGAGCGATGGTACGAGACACAAAAGATTTATTCACATTTAAATGCTGAAGTGCTCTAACGTTAGCCGCTTGTGGTTCTCCAGCCAAATATAAAGAAATAACCACTATCACGCTTGAATTCCATCACGAATAACTTTTTTCTGGAAAATGCTCACCAAAAGGCTTTTGTACGCCTGTGAAAAATATAATGAGCTGTCACTGGAATAATTTTTACAGCTGTTAGAAGAGTGGCTTGGAAATGACAGCAGTCTGAAATTGTGGTTGCAGTTTTTTTCATCTTACCCTGTAGATAGAGGAAAGAAGATCTTCGAGGGGTTTTCTATTCATGAAGTACTTTCCACAGGTCCTCTATGATTATAGGAACATATCCAGATTTTTTCGAGAATTCCTCAATGAATGGAAACAGAATCTTCGAGAAATATTTTGTGGATTGAAGACCATCAAAATATTTTCTACAGAATAGGGATCTTCGAGAAGTCTTCTATGGATAGATCATCTTCAGAAGGTCGTCTATGGAATGATGACTTTCGAGAGGTCTTCTATTTATAGAGGACCTTACGGCCGCCTTTTGTAAATAGAAGATTTTAAAAGAGAGTGTTATAGAAGAAGAATCTTCGAGAGATTTTCTATAAAGAGAAATCCTTCGAGAAGACCTCTATAAATAGAAAAGGAAAAGGGAATTTCAGGAAGTCTTCTATGCATAGAAGACTTGCGAGAGGGCTTCTATAGATGGGAAACCTTCGAAAGGTCCTCTGTAGATGGGGACCTTAGGTAAAAAACTCTTTAGAGGAGAAAAGACCTCTCAGGCCTTGAAACACCTTTTGTGAACATTTTTCTACATGGACGACCTTTGACCTTTCATAGTCTATTGAGAATCTTTGGGAGATCATTATTGTTTAACAGAATAAGAGCTTTGAAAACCTTTAAGAGGTCTTCCATCAAAATCTTCAGAATTCATCCATAAAAAATTAAATCCTACAGTGATATTTTTTATTGATTTGAGATCTTTACTTACAGTATTTTTTCATTGAGACTTAAAGGCAGATACATTTCGGGCAAAAAAACTGATTGCAAAACAGTCAAAAACTGTGTTAAATTCACCAATCGAAAATGGGACTTATGGTCAAATTGGATATCAGCCAAATTCCTAAAATTTCAAAGGTTCATTATATTGCATATTATTTGAGAAGAGTTAACCTATCTACAAACAGCCCAAAATATCAAATTACAGCTGATTTTGGTTGGAAATTGGGCCCGAAATCTTCGAAATCCCAAAAAAAATCGAGAGGTATACAGCTTTGTGGGCTACATTAAAAACGGTAGAGCTAAATTTAATATTTTTAAGCAGTGAAAACGCAAAAGTTCGAATTACGGCTGATTTGGGTGGAAATTGATGCTGAACCCCTCATAATCGCGAAAATCACGAGGTATTGGTATAAAGGGGCTATACCACAAAGTATATATTCTTGATAAGCAAAAAAATCCAATGTCGATTTAGCGATCTCCGTCCGTCTGTGAAAATCCCTCTAGCTTCCGAACAAAATTAAGTAGATTGACAAAATTTTGCTCAAATGTATATTATGTCTGCAGGAATTTTGGTATTAAAAATGGGCCATGTAGGTCCACGTTTTGGTATAGCCCCCATACAAAGGTATCTCCCGATATTCGGTACTTTGAGGATTTAAGCGACATTATACACCGAATTTGTTGCATATTTGGTATTTGAAGTTCGTAATGGATACTACAGCCTATGACAGGACATTGTCTGCGCTGCGCCACGTCTTTTTATAGCCCCTTATAACGGTACCTCCCGGTATTTGGTACGTTGATGATTTTAGCGACATTATTCACCGGAATTGTTTCAAATTTGGTATTTGAAGTTCGTAATGAATACTAAAGCCTAAGACAGAAAATTGTCTGTGCAGATCCACGTCTTAGTATAGTCCCCATATACAGGTAGCTCCCGATATTCCGTACTTTGATGATTTTAGCGGCATTATTCACAGGAATTGGGTCAAATTTGGTAGTTGAAGCTCGTAATGGTTACTACAGCCTATGACAGAAATGGTCTGT